GTGGAATGGAATGAAGAAGGATGTTGCACAGTTTGTGGCTAGATGTTTTACCTGTCAGCAGGTAAAGGACAAGCACCAGAGACCAGCGAGTTTGTTGCAGCCATTGCCGGTAGCGCAGTGGAAATGGGAATAGATTGCCATGGATTTTGTGACAGGTCTTCCTAGGTCACAGCGTAAAAATGAAGCCGTATGGGTCATTATTGATAGACTGACTAAGGCGACCCACTTTTTGCTTATCAAGGCAACAGATGAAGCAGAGGCACTTGGTGTGCTGTATGTGAAAAAGATTGTCAGGTTGCATGGAGTTCTAGTATCCATTGTTTCGGATAGGGATGCCAAGTTCACCTTGAAGTTCTGGGAAGGACTTCACGCAGCGTTTGGCTCACCGTTGCATTTTAGTACGGCATTCCATCCACAGACGGACGGCCAGTCGGAGCGGACCATCCAGATCTTGGAGGATATGCTTCAGGCTTGTGTTCTTTATTTAGGAGGTAGTTAAGAGGATCACCTTCCACTTGTTGAGTTTGCCTACAACAATAGTTATCAGGCGAGCATTCAGATGACTCCATTTGAGGCATTGTATGGCAGGCCTTGTAGGTCTCCTGTTTGTTGGACCGAGGTAGGCGAGACAGCCACCTTAGGACCTGACATTGTACTTGAGATTACTGAGAAGATTAAACTGATCAGGCAAAGATTGCTTACATCTCAGAGCCGACAAAAGAGTTATGCGGATAGGCGTAGACGACCGCTATCCTTTGAGGTGGGAGACCACGTCTTTCTTCGGGTTTCTCTACGAAAAGGGTTGATGATGTTCGGGAAGAGTGGCAAGCTGTCACCACGATTCATTGGACCTTTTGAGATTTTGGATAGGGTAGGAGAGGTTGCCTACAGGCTTGCTTTGCCACCGCAGTTGGACAGAGTTCACAATATTTTTCATGTATCGATGTTACGGAAGTATGAGCTGGATCCGTCTCATATTCTTAATTAGGTGGATATGGACATTGATGAGGATGTTTCCTATGAGGAAGGACCAGTTTAGATCATTGACATACGGCAGAAAGTGTGAAGGGACAAGACGATACCATTGGTGAAGGTCCTTTGGAGGCATCACGGAGTTGAGGAGGGTACTTAAAAGCTCGAGCAAGAAGTTCACTCCAAGTATTTAGCATTATTTTCTTCCCCATGTATGGTTTAATTTTGCAGACGAAATCCTTTTTAAGTTGGGGAGATTGTAATATCCTTGTTTTTCATCATTTTTCATTATTTTTCATTTTTCTAGAATTTCTATTGTTACGGGGGCATTTTCGTCTTTTCTCGTTCTGTTTACCGGACACCGTGGGGTGTGTTCGGTGTGTCCGAGAGTTGATTGAAGCATTTTATTAAGTTTAAGACTTTTTAAAATGTAATGGTTGTCATTCCGGTATTTTTTTCTATTTTTCGGGCCGGGAGATCCCAGGTGGGACTCGCTACCGGAATTGTTGTGCACAGAAGTTGTGTTATGGGTCCATTGCATATCATGTATATTTATTTTATGTATAATTTAGTGGGATAAATGTATTTGTGGTGTGTGATTATATATATAGATATGTGGATTTTGTAGTGAAAAGTTAAAAGGGTGGGATATTTTCTTAGTGATGCGACCCACCACTAAGCATTTTGTGGCTAAGAAACCAATTTTGGTCACATTTCCTCTCTCTCCTCGGCAGTTCCTCTCTCCCTCTTCTTTTCTTTTTCTTTTTTTTTTTTTTCCCAATCAAGCTTTCAAGGCTTGATTAAGCTCACACCTTTGGGAATTTGATAGCACTTCTTTCAACAAAGTTGTAGAGTTCGTCAAGGCCTTCATTTTGATAGAAGCCAAGCACCATTTGGCCAAGCCTAAGGATTTCGAGTTTAGGGCTTTGATTTGGGAATTTTGGGGGTTTTCACTTCCATTGAGGTAGGGGTCTCTAATACATGATTTTCTTATACTTTTGTGAGTCACTTCCTTATAATTTGTTCAATTACGTGCTTAATTGGTCTAAATTCTTATAAATTGCTTTAGTGTTTTATAATGAAATATGTGACAATGTGTTAGTTGATGTATTGTGTATATGCATGCCTATGTGAAGTAGAATTTATGCTTTGTGTGCTTGTTATACTATATCAATGTGAATGAAAGTATGAATTTCATAATTTAGAAATTTGTTTTGAAAAGCATGTGTAAAATTCTATAGTTGAATTGATAATTAGAAGCATGAAGCATTCATACATCCATTGGGAAATAAAAGGGAAAAAGTGTTTTGAAAGAAATGAAATTGTTTTAGGAAAATGGTTTTCGAAAAGTGTTTGTGAAAACCGGACACCTAGGAGGCGCCTAGTGGTCCGGGGTGTTAATGTGATCTAGAGGGAGGTTGAACTACCTAGGCCCAGACAACGCCATGGAAATGCCATGTAGTCGGGGAAAGCTAATCAATCCTTCCCTCGTGGTGCCATAAAGGTGATATGGACCGAATTGTATTAACAGTTTGGAACGGCAAAAAGAATTGTTTTGGAAAAAAGGGGAGCGACATTGGCATGACATCACATTTCATTAACATATTTGATGTATTTATGATTGGATGATATTTGATTATATGCTTATTGTAGTTATTAATATGTATTCCTTATGGTATGATCCCGCTTACTTTTTATCTATTCTTTATATGGATTCACGGTATTATAAGAAGCGTGTCTTCCTACTGAGCTTATGCTCACCCCATTATTTTAACATTTTTCAGGTTCGGGAAAAGAACTGGCGAACGACAACCCACCACAACTCTAAACTGGATTGGAACTAGTGTTTTGATGTCTTTTGTGTGGATATATGAACCAAATTCTTATTGTAAAGTCTAAGCATCACTTGTTGAAGTTGTAAATTGTGGTTCTCTTATAAAATTTTGATTTTTGTTTCATGGCCTGTAAATCTACATTAATTCGAGTACTTTGATAATGGCCGTTAGTTCATGTAATGATTCATGTATTGTGATGTTGTTAGGTGTTGCTAAGTTGTATTCTATGAATTCATATATGTATGGAAGGGAATTATTCAATTTTAAGGTGCCATAACAACCCTTTTGTATAGTTTCAAGGCCACAGCAGTCTTCTGCAGTTTTTTTAGCTCGCATGACCATTTCGGTCGATCGAAATGGGCATTTCGGTCGACCGATCTTTCCAATAGCCTCGGTTACTGTTTGAATCACAACTGGCCGACCGAAATGGCGACCGGTACAGGAGCTATTTCGGTTGACCGAAGCTCCATTTCGATCGACCGGTTTGCTGCTGTTTTGTGATTCGTGTCCCTTCTTTGGCTTAACCAATCCTAAGTAATGAGAGGGCACTTGAGGCCTTCATGGATCAGAATTAAGATGTATTAATGGTGTAATAGCACCGAATTTAATAGCATTGACTTAGGTAACCTCGGGTTCAGGTAAGGACCCGGTTAGCGGTTCGAACCTACGGGTTCGGGTCGTTACAGTATAAATATCAACTCTAATATGAATTTAGAGTATGTGAGAGTTAGAGATAAATTTATGCCAATACAAGAAAAAGTAATTGAAAGAGATTGAGAGAAAATTCTCTATTGTAATCTTCATCTTTTTTATAGTGAATTTGTTCGATGTGCTCCATAGACGTAACCCTAAGATTTGAGTGAACCATGTATATCTTGTGTTCTTGTATGTGATTTTTTTTTATTCTTCGTGATTACTTATTTATTTCTTGAACAACGTTGTTTATTTTGCGTTTCCGCCATAACAACTGATATTAAATTCAGTTGATTGTGCAGAGCAACTCTAACATCCAACATTTATCTATATTTGAGCGTAGCCGAAAGGTTAATTTTTTATTTATTTTATTTAATGGAATAGATGGCCCAATATTGAATTCATCCACTTTATTAAAAGGATAAAAACCTTTCGACTACCCAACACGACCCAAAAAAAAGTTGGTTAAAACATAATTAATCTTACTCAGTTATCACATGACTCTCTTAATAACATTACTTTATAACTATGGGTGTCAATTTTACCTGCACCACCCCCTATTGGGATAGGTTTAGGACCTTTTGGTAAGAGAATTTAAAACCCGCCAAATCAGAAATAAATATATAATATATTTTATTAGCTATCATTTTTTTTCCTTTTATTTCTTATGATAATTTTAAATTCTAACAACATTTTTATTATTACAATTCTTAAATATTTGAGTATACTATATATATATATATATATATATATATATATATATCTTAAATTTGAATTGTTTTTCATAAAATATATATGTATATTGTGAGTTTGTATTTTTTTTATGACAATACTTTTCTACTCACCGGTGAGTAGGCAATCTCTAATTACCGTTGATGTTATCCAATTACAAATGCGCACATCACGTAATTACAAAATCAAAAAAATAATAAATAAATAAAACAGACGAGTGATTGAATTTATTCCCAAAAATATTATTTTCTTTATTTATTAATTTTTTTATTTTGATTTAATAGATTATATGTCTATTAACGATTGGACCACATCAGCAGTCAACTGAGATCCCCTAATCATCAATGAATAGACATGATTACCCATACTCATCCTGTTAACATTCCTATCTATTCACATGTTCTAAGTTCAGCTTCCTCGAAAAGAGAAATCATATAATCCAAACTAGGGGTTAGAGGTAAATAATAGTAATAATAATAATACTAATAATAATAATATTCATCCGCTAAAAAATTATCAATTTTTAGAAGAACAAATTATTACTAAAGCACTCTCGTTAACTTGCACCTACAACCGATAGATCGAGATATTGTGATGTGTCGTTATGAATCCAACGGTCGACGTTTCACAGCAAGAAGACAAGTGAAAGACTTTTATTCTTTTTAAACTCAAAAAAGTATAATCCAAATCCAAAAAGTAAAGAACCATAATTAAACTAAAAATAAAGAAGGAAACCAATTTTCCTATGCCAACTATTCTTTATTTCTTTTCTAAAAGAATAAATTATAATAATCATAAACCGCCTTTTGAAAATAATATATATACACCTATCAACCTCTCATGATCCTATCGCTTTGATTCTCTCCATCAAGATCTCTGCTCAGCCGTTGATCTCTCTGACTCTCTATATCACACACACAAACACACCCAGCAAGAGTAACACTTATCAACATCATCCACCATGGTTGTGAACTATAGACCGGTGAAGAGGATGAGGAGGATGGTCGACACAAATCTATACGATTTCTACACTTTTCCGGCAGCCGGAGACGCCGTATACGGCGGTCCCTTCCGGTCGAGCGTGCAGCGCTTCCTCTCGAAGCATGCCCGTCTAACCTTCCCGCCCTCCCTCTTCCCTTGCCTCATGACGTGGCAGATCCAGTTAGGGATCGGCGGCCCCGTCTCCGACGACGGTGCTCCGGCCGTCGTCGTTCTCTACATCGTTGAGGAGGATGTCACCAGATCCAGATCTGTTTACTGCGACCAGTGCCGAGTCGTCGGTGAGTTTAACTCTTTCCGAGTTGTACACGGAGTCAACGATAAAAATAATAATAATGTTAAGATTTGTTTGGTTGCTGAGAAAAAGCTTTTATGCAAGTAGTAGTATTTAGGTTCAAATAGTTCCAATAGTAAGACATGACCCATTACTGGACTAACCCAACTACAACATTGAACGCAAAAAACACAAATAAGAACATTCTTCAATTTTCTAAAAATAGTTGAAGATTGTAGACTAATTTTTATTTTATTTTTTTATTTTATTTTTTTCTTCATAGTTAATAGTCACACACACACAACCTTGAACTCGTGGCCTTTTCAAGAAAAGTAACGGATTGATACTGCTAGGACACAGACACATATCCTACTTATAAATTTTACTACTTTGGAGGGTCAAACTGTGCTAAAAAAATCTTTTAGCACAGTTGTGACCCTATATATATAAATAAATAAAGAACAGGAGTGTTTTGAAATATATATATATATATATAAATAAATAAAGAACAAAGAGTGTTTTGAACTACAAATAGATATTTGTTTGGTTTTAATTTGATTTTTGTTGGTGAAGGTTGGAGTGGGCATCCGGTTTGCCGAAAGCGATACCATTTCATTATCAGGAAGGAGGAGGGCAGCAGTTTTAGCCCATTACAGGCAGAAGGATATCAAAAGGAATGTACAATTTGTGGACATACATTGCAGCTGTCTGATTCAAGGTAGAGGAATTTTCCAATAACATTCATTCATCAGTTGTAATAAAACTCGAATTGAAGATCGAAAACTGAATAACCAAAGTAAAATAGAAGTGACCAAACTTTGTTAGATTAGGTTAAACATTCTAATTTATTTGATATCTACCTGTTTGAAGATGTAAGTTATGCGGCTCTGAGGCCCCGGCACATGACTTTGAGAATTGGGTTTATCTTCAACTGGTGGATAACACACATCTTCTGCATGGTGTTATTCACTCCAATGGTTATGGCCACCTTCTTACACTCAATGGCAAAGAAGGTGGCTCCAAGTTCCTCCGTGGAAGTGATCTAATGAACCTTTGGGATAGGCTCTGTACAACCCTTGCTGTCAGGTTTGTGCTCTCGCTTATGCTTGTGATATTGGTTTTTATTCAATTACTCGGCGACATATGTAAAATTTTGACATATTCTATTAATTCGTCGATTCTTATGATTGTTATCCATATTCAAAGAAGGGCTTTGTACTATGCACCTTAAGTTAGGTGAAGTTATCCTCACTCGGCCATTGTTTTAGATTTGGCTCAGCTCTAAATTCACCCAATCTTGGTTTAATCCTAATAGACCTCTTACATTTGTTGTTAATAGTCCCCATCCATTTTGTGGGTGTGGAAAATTGAGACAGCGCCACGTGTCAATTCTAATGCCACGTGGAAAGCTGATGTAGGAATCACAGTGGGGGTGCTAGATGGCCCAACACCAAACCCTTTACCCGTAGAGTTCCTTGTGTCCCTTTGCTTTCAAAACCTCCTTACTTTGAGGAGCTCTAGGGCACTCTCAGAGTTCCTCTTATCTCGAGAAGCTCAAGGAGGGCCCTCTACTTTTAGAGCTCTTCTTACCTCAAGGGTTGCTCTAGCTCAAGGGCCCTTTTACTTTTAGAGTTTCTCATATCTTGAGGAGCTCAAGGGTCCGTTTAGTTTCAAAGTCTTTCTTACTTTCAGAGTTCATCTTGCTTTGAGGTCCTCAAGGTCTGAGCTCCTCTCTACGGATAAACCTTTTCAATCGAGGAGCTCCTCTCTTACAGATGAACTTCTTATGGGAGGAGGTCTTTACAGATTACCCCTTTTTTAGAGGAGTTCCTCTTTACCGATAAACCTATTTTAGGATAAGCTCCTCTTTATGGTTAAACCCCTTCTAGGAAGAGTTTCTCTCTGCGGATAAACTTCTTGAGGAGCTCTCCTCGTGACACTCACAGTCTCACAAGAAGGGACCCCCAATCAATAGCAGTGTTTCATAGGGGAAGAACCCCCAATAAATATCTACCGGGAACTTAAAAGGTGTTGGCTTAGTGGCTAAAGTTCGTGGAACGCCGAGTAATGTGCCTCACCCCTTATTTGGGACAATGAGGCCCCACTTAACCTGTAAAAAAGGAAAGACAAGAACCTTCCTGGACAAACCTTCTATCTTCGCATTTACGAGTAAATATTGGATGGTTGTTCTCCCTTTTTATCCTCGCATTTAATGAAAAGCCCTCAAATGGTGAGGAGCACATTAATGCTTCGCCATTTTTGCCCCTTCCACCAAAGGAACAAACATTGGTATAAATAGGAAGTTAACGTCTTATTTAAAGGGAGAAAAACTTCCTTGCGCCTGTTGCACCGTGCAACGGGTGCATCTGGATTGTCCGTGTTATTTTTACTACACGAGCGAGCATGTATGTAATATGGACAATCCGGATGTGCCCGTTGCAGTGTGCAACTGACGCAATGAAGTTTTTTTCATTTAAAGGGAAGAACAACCATCCAATATTTGCTCGTAAAGACTTATCTACAGTCATGCATTCAAGGAGATTACGAAGAAACACACACACCTATTATATATTTTTGTCCGCTGAACACTCAACCCCAAAAGGAAAGGAGAGCTAATAATACCATCTAGGCTAGAGACAATTGGTTTGGTTGAGTAGAATTGAAGTGTTAGGTTTCCATCATTGCAAACGCATAAATACTTATCTTAAAAGCTCTCCATGTGAGGGCAAACTAGTCATTTTAACAAATGTTATTGCCATACAGCTTTTCTAGCTCTAAGAGGAGTGCTGGGGCCACATTTTCTTTCTTTTTTTCCAATTGTCTTTAACTGTTTATATACATATAAATATATATACACACACATTAAATGTGGGTTTTCATGATTGTAAGTTTTAGTTTAAGTAAAATTATGGAATTGAGGGTTTGGCAAATGATAGACAATCATGGATAGCCCCTGGAGAGAGAGAGAGAGAGAGAGAGAGAGGAAAAAGAGAGAGGGAGTACAAAGGATGCAACAATTACAATAACCACGCAGTCCCATCATTTAACATACCGCAGTTATCTTTAATTGGTTTAGTTATCTATACCCTTCACATTCCTAAATATTTGATGATAAAAAAAATGTGGACCTCCCATATAATCACTCGTGCATCTACCTAGACTCACAGAATACCATTCTGGAGAGAGAATATTTGATTTACCAATGCCAGGTCCTTCATTGTCACTTACTCATTTGCGCAAAAAAATTATTAGTCATTTTTGTACAAGTTAATAATTGCATGCAAAGAACTTTGACTCTTAAAAGTGATGTAGATCCCTCAGCCAATTAAATTCTTATGCTCTAAACTAAAACCAAAATATTCGATCATTAGTTCTTGTTTCATCTATTCGGTTATCTTTGCAAATTTTAAATTAAGATTTTTAATGTGGCCAAACCAATACTCAAAAACTCCACAACAACAACTAACCTTTCCGGTCAAAGGGGAAGAAAGGAGGATAAAAATCAAAACCAATAATAAAAGATAAACTCCACAACAACCACCAACCTTTCTGGTCAAAGGGGAAGAGAGGAGGATAAAAATCAAAACCAATAATATAAGAAGAATATAAAAATATAATTATAAAAATAATAAAAGGCATTTGCAACTGAATTTTTTCAATGTCCTTGATTTATGGAAACTATTATTCACGCACGTTTGATTTCATTTCCCTACTCTCTTGTTGAGCAGAAAAGTCAGTGTGATGGATGTCTCAAGAAAATATGGGATGGAATACAGACTATTACATGCAATCACCGGCGGCCATCCTTGGTATGGTAATTGGGGTTATGAGTTTGGTGCTGGGAGCTATGCTCTCACACAAAGTGCTTACCAAATTGCAATTAGAACTCTCTCCAGCATACCTTTATCCATCTTTTCCTATCAAGGCCGTAGACCCAAGACGGACCTGCAGACTCTAATTGCATTTTACCAGTCCATATCAGAACAAAATCTTGTATCGTTAGGGGATCTCTTCAGCTTCATATTAAGGCTGATACGTGAAATTCATGGGTCACAAACTGGTATTTATGAGAAGTCCAGCACTATGAATGTATTGTGCACTTGGATGAGAGAGGATGTTGAACGTGTAGAGCAAGGTATGATCAAAGTGCTGCTAGCAGCGGCTAATGATTCTAGCTGGGTGTCAAGACGTGCTCTGAAGGGTGCCCTTTGCAAGGCAGCCTCACCAAATCATCTTGATTACTGCCTCAAGCACTTGGGAGGGAAGATAGCAACAAATGGGATGGTGGTTAGCCAACGATGCAATCCCGGTTCTTCTGCCATTGAGTACAGGTAAATGAGCCAAAATTTCCTTTGGAAGTTTTTTTTTTGTCCTACCAAGTTAATAATTTCTTCTTTACTTGCTCTTTTATGGTAACAGGCTTGAACCTTGTGGTTTCGTACACAAAGGAACTTGCTCAAACTCAAATATCCCATCAGAAGAGCATCTCATTCGTGATTTGAAATTTTTATACGATTCTATTCTCCATCCACAAACGATGGTGAACAACAGGCCTCAAGCAACAAGAAAACTAGTGGCTGAATCAGCTACTAAACTCCTCGACTGCAAGCAATTTGTAAAAGACTACAAACCTGACAAAATGGCAGCTACAAAACCCTTTGCTATCAACCTCTGGTGTCATGTGGAACTTGCAGGCCGTTCTAAAGAAGACTCGGTCCCACCTCCAGAACTTATTGTCCTGCCAGAAAATGCTACTGTTGCTGACTTAAAACTTGAAGCTACTAAAGCTTTTCGAGAAGTGTATGCCATGTTTAAGAGGTTTGAAACTGATGAAATTCTTGACTTTGGTCCTATAGATGATTCCATGACATTGAAACTTTTGGTCGGATTGACTGGGTCAGTTCGAGTTCGAGGAAGGTGCCAGGGAACACATGGTCTTAGTCGCTTTAAAACCGAAAGGGGAACTGAGAACTGGACGGTAGATTGCATGTGTGGGGCTAGGGACGATGACGGTGAGAGGATGTTGGCTTGTGACACTTGTGGTGTGTGGCAGCACACAAGGTGTGCTGGAATTGATAATTATGATGAAATCCCTGCAAATTTTATCTGCATGAGATGTTTAAACTCAAATGTATCTAAGAAGGTTGTGCAGTTTAGTGAAGAGAGTAGTGGTTTGCTGTCCAGCAGAAGTTGCAGGGATGAATCAGCTATAGCTAATAGCCCTAGGCTTCGTACTAAATTAAGAGTGAATTTTAATGTTAGTTGAATGTATTTCCTATAAATGTATAGTTTTGTATTGTATATAAACTTAAATGAGAAATCAAAGAAGGATTGTGCATCATACGCCCAGATTTGTGCCTTGGTTTGGTTTTCATATCGATACAGATACAGCTAGCGACATTTTTGTTGTGGCCTGTGATCAATAGCAATTGTACAAGAAATCACAGAAATTAAAGCAATAAATTATAGAACCATCAGAACATGGTGTACTTACAAATTGTTGTAGCTCTTCTTCATTCCATTGTCTTGTAATTTATTTCATTTTTTCCTCAGGCTGTGCTTGTAGGACATTAGTTTCCTCAAAATGAGTTAGAGGGGACTTAGAAAAGTGTCCAATGACCTTGCACAGGCCTGTATACTTCTTTACTACATCCTTATACAAACTTAGCAATCTTTCCACATCTCCAACTGTCAGTTCACCAGCCTCTGCTTCGATAAAAGGATAGTTCAATTCACCTGATATCACCAAAGCAATTGCTTTTAGATAAGGTTTAAAAAGTATTTTTGCATGGAAACCATTTTAGACGTTCTATCCTTAGAACAAAATAGTTAAATTATATTATCAGTAAATTAATGAGAACACAATAGCACCTGGGCATTTTGGAACTCACCACTTATTTCGGTTTTGTTATCATGTATCCCAGTAGAAGGGCCAGGAGCTGTCTGCCTCATGAAGGCTGCAATCTTATCCAATGCGGTTGAGGATTCTGTTTGTGTCATTTTATTAAATATTCTTGTTGAAAGAACTGGCATAGCTGCTATCTCGTCCCATGCAGAAGGGGGTTCTATTCGTATCCCTCTAGAGACTAATCCAGCAGCTTGCATGCTTTCCTGGAATTCAGTTTCATTCATAGAAATAGACTTGGCATCTAAGTCAAGGATAAATGTCTTGGCAGAGACAAGGCTTGTGAAATAATAAGCCTCTTCTGAGACAAGTTTTGCCTGCCTTCGATACAATTGAATGAACATGAGGTTGGAATGCAACTGAGGAGGATTAGCCTGTCAAAAGTAGGGTCAATGATTTAGAAACTTCATATCAGGGACCAATCACGAAAGCAACAAGAATTTACAAGGAGGAACATGGCAATTTTCTTCCCATTTTTTTAAAAACACTGCTATCATCATCAATAAGGAACTTTACAATTTATAAAGGATTTGGTTTTGATAATTTTCAGAACCAAAAGTCAAAACAACAAAAAGCAACTAATATTGCACCTACAGCAATTTCTAAAAACCCTAAAATTGCTTGTCGTGTTTAGCACTGTTCAAAACAAATGCAGATGTGCAAGGGTGGAAGAATTCAATTTTTTTTTTTTTTTTCAGGAAAGCTGTTTTCTTGATATAAAGATACTCGTTTGTTTGTTTACTGGGAAAAAGAAAGAAAAAGAAAAAGAAACTTATCAAAAAGAAAAGAAAAGAAAAAGAAAGGTACTTATTTGTTCACACACTTGACAGAAGTTGGTGTTAGTATGACATCCATCAAAGATCAAAGAAGAAGTAACAAAATTTTAAATGTCAAGAAACCTACTGGAATCTTACGTTAGAGAGGCAGAGAGAAGAAGAATTTTTTTTTTTTTAAATATCAAAAGAATTACAAAGGGTATTTATACTATTCAAATAACATAAAGAAGGAAATGTTGACTAGAAGACGGTGTGGTTCACAGATGCATTACAGCTATACAAACGACAAAAAAGAATACACAAACACACACACTGAAAATTCAGACCCTTCCAGTTAGACCTTAAAATATTAGTTTATTTTTTTATTAGTAATTATGCTAAATAAGTGAGATATGTTTTCTTCTCAATCATCCTGTTGCACCTATTGTTGTAGATTATTACCCATTAAGCAAAGCATTCTAGATCAACGTGATAGCAACAAGAACCATCATAGAAGAATCTCAATTCAAAGGTACTTGAATTTATAATAAAATAATTACAAACATCACCATAATAAACTGTATCACCTTACTGTCTTGACAAAGGCTACACTAATGCATTTTGTGCAACCAACATAGATGATAGAACATATTAGCAATTGAGAACACTTTTACGGCCTCATCACTAATGACGAGGACACTAGATAGTGAACTTAAGAAAGACATGATTTAATTATGCAAGGAGCACGTTAGAAATTAAACATAGGACACAAATTGATGCAAAGTCATAAACTATATGATGAATGCAGAAGTCCATATCTTTTAGATGTCTGATCTTTAGAAGGTAATGTTTGGCCACTCCAGTGTTTGACTATATTAATGAAAGAACCTAGAATTTTGAATAAATGTGTAATGATTGGAAGATGGCTTATTACCAATGAGAGCTTGCCTTGATGGTAACATATACAAGTATAGGAAGAAAATCATCAGCTCCAGATACACGATTTTCTGACATTGACGCATTAAGCAGCAAATTATTGATGACTCTGCAACAATTCAGAACACATAGAAGCTTCTCACGGGGATTTTTGAAAGCGTTGATTTTCTGCAATTCTTTCTCTGCGAGCTGCGGGGAAAAAAGAAGAGAACAAAACAACGGATACTCATTAAACCAATGGGCCAGTGGCCTAGTTGTACAAGGCCCCTACTTCCCAAAGGGAGGTCAGGGATTCGAGCCTCAATGGAAGCATGTGTGTGTGAGTACCAACTAAGAAGAAAAAAAACGGATACTCATTAAGCAAAAAAGGAAGATGCAAACAATAAACAATTTTTAACAAATAAAATCAGAAATTTGCATTGAAAAAATAACAAATAGAAGATAAAATTAACTATAGAGATGTTTGAGTCACTACAGACTCATTGTTGGCCTATCAAAATGAACTTCCAGGACTTCATCCAATGATTAGACATGTTCTCCAAAGATTATAAACTTAAGTTGGAATAGTACTTGTGTCAAGACAATGGCAATATTTAACCAAAAAAGAAATAGTGGCAATCACCCCATTCTTTAGCTACCTTGGGAGATATTTGTTGTCTTCAAAGCAAAGAGAAAACTGCTCACTGAACGAATCAAAGATTTAATGATGGGATTTGACACCTTCAAAGTTCAGACCCCCGAGAAGAAGCAACAAAAGTTCACTTTAAATTGAATTTGCTCAGTTTGACCAAGATGGCATTGCTGTTCATAAATATACAAGTTACTTTTTACAAGATGATGTTGTTGATTAAGAAGCAGTGACAACATGCCTCGTTAGGCATAATCAGAAACATCATGGCATTAAAATATCCCGTGCGCACAAAATTCACCAGTGAATAATGAATATCATTTCTTCTTGATTTCATGTTCAAAAGTCAATTGCCCCTTTCTTCTTGATTTCATGCACAAAATTCAGTAGTTTTTCATACTTGTACTTGGATTGTCTCGCCTCTACTATCATTGGTGACAAATCGGAAAACACGGGCTCTCTCTTTTCCAGTTCTAAAACTACTACCAAAATGAAGGGTTCCAACTACCTTCAATCAGATCCTTCACGAGGTAGCCAAGAGGGCCGTAGTCCTTCACACCCTAGCAGAGGTGTTCGTGGTGGTAGGACATGTACAAACTATCGCCGTACTAACCATTCAGTTGATCCTTGTTGGGAACTTCACGGCAAGCCTGAATGGGCAAATCCGGTTGTGGTTGAGGGGGAGAACACTAATCCTGCTACTGAGGAATAGATTCATATCTCCAAGGCTGAGTATGATTCAATTGTCAAGCGTACTTATCTTCATTCTTCACTCGATACACCTTGGATCATTGATTCTAGGTCCTCCGATCATATGACAGGAAACCCCCCTCTTTTCTATGATATTTCTCGTATGTCTTCTCCCTCTTATGCCATGATAACTAATGGTACCAAGTCTCTAGTCCAAGGAATCGGTACCATTCGAACCTCTAGTCTAACCTTCTATTCTATCTTGTATCTACTACGTCAATTTCCCTTTAATTTGCTATCAGCTCCTAAACTTACCTCTGCCCTAAATTGCTCAGTAATATTCTATCCTACTCACTGTGACTTTCAGGATCTAATGACAAAGAGGATAATTGGTGGGGACTTTGAGAAGGATGGGCTCTACTACTTTCAACCGTCTTATTCGCCTATTTCATCTGCACTAAATACCTCTACTTCACCGTATCAGTGGCCCTGTCGACTTGGGCATCCTTCGTCTAATAGTGTTCGGCATATGGTTCCTTCCTTACCTAATTTTTCTAGTTTTAATTGTGAAATATGTGAACTTGGCAAGCATGATAGGGTTTCTTTTAAACCGTATCACTCTGATGTTTCCAGCCCAAACAACTGGATTGGCTCGTGCCTGTTATTTTGTTTCCTTTATTGATGACTATTCTAATTTAACTTGGTTATATGTTCTTAAAGATCAATCTCAAGTCTTTCATGTGTTTAAATCTTTTTATGCTGAGATCACTAATCAGTTGAATACTAAGTTACATATTCTTCGAACTGATAATGCTCTTGAATATAAAGATTCTCTCTTTCAGTAATTTCTTGAGTCCAGAGGTGTCACCCATCAAACTTCTTGTGTTGATACTCCCCAACAAAATGGAATTACTGAAAGAAAGAATGAACCCATTCTTGCTATTGCCCGGGCTCTAATGATTCAAATGAATGTAACTAAACATTTATGGGGAGAAGTAGTTCTTACTGCATCATATCTATTGAATAGAATGTTATCTCAGATCCTTGAAGCAAAATCACCTTTTCAGATGATGTTTCCTGATAAAGACCCCTTTTCTCTTCCTCCAAAAGTGTTTGGGTGCGTTTGTTTCATAATTTAAATCCAAAACGGGACAGACTTGATTCTCGAGCTCAAAAATGAATGTTTTTGGGTTATTCTCACACTCAAAAAGGATATAGGTGCCACAATCCTTCTCTTAGAAAACATTTTGTGTGCGCCAATGTAACATTTTGTGTGTGCCAATGGGTAGAGCCTTCCTTGCGGCCTCCACCATCTTCCCCTGCGCCTACAGATCCGGTTGTTCATCTGTCTGAGTCTAATCTTGATGTTCCCATCGCATTTTGCAAAGTTAGAAGGGTTTGTACTGATGATCCTATCTCTTATTTTGTTTCTTATGATCGTCTGTCACCCTCTTTTCGAGCTTTCTCTTTACCTTTGACATCTGCTACTGTTCCTAAGTCATACAGGGAGGCTCTTTCCCACCCCAGCTGGCAGAAAGCTATGGAAGACGAAATGCATGCCATACAATTGAATCATACTTGGGATCTACTTTAAAAGCCTGTAGGTGCTCATGTTGTTGGTTGTCATTCGGGTTTTCAGAGTGAGAGAGAATCTTGATGGCATTGTTGATCATTTAAAGGCTCACCTTGTTGCTAAGGGTTTCAGTCAGACCTATGTTATTGACAATACTGCGACTTTTTCTCCTGTGGCTAAGCTGAACTCTATTCACATAAATATCTCTTGCTGCCAATCTTGACTGGCCTCTTTATCAACTCGATGTCAAAAATGCTTTTCTACATGGCAATCTTTCTGAGGTAGTATACATGGCTTAACCTCCTGGGTTTGAGTCCAAGGGAGAGTGCGTTTATCATCTCAGAAAATCTATTTATGGATTCAAAACAGTCACCCCATGCATGGTTTGATAAATTTAGTAAGGTAGCAGTTGCTCATGGCATGACTACAAGTCAAGGTAATCATTCGGTTTTCTTTAAAAAGACAAAATGTGGCATTGTAATTTTGGTGGTATGTGGATGATATTGTCCTTACTGGGAGTGACAATAAGGGGATTCAGACCTTGATCCATCATTGGGTTCGAATTTTCTCACTAAAGACTTGGGCAAGCTCCGTTATTTTCTTGGTATTGAGGTTGCAACATCAAAGAAAGGTATCTGTTTATCTCAAAGAAAATATATTTATGATATCTTAAGGATACAGGTTATCTTGGCTCAAAACCTGCAACAACACCCATGGAGACTATTCTCAAAGTATTCCCTGATGTTGGTGACTTGGTTGATGATCTAGAGGTGTACAGACGGCTTGTAGGCAAGCTAATTTACCTAACCATTACTCGACCAGATAGATATTACCTATGCAGTCAGTGTTGTGAGTTTATGGCTGGTCCACGACTCCCTACATGGACGCGGTTATACGGATTCTTAACTATCTCAAAAGAGCTCTGGGTCGTGGTCTTCTCTATGGCATCTATGCATCGAAGCTAATTCTGATTGGGCAGGTTCACCTTCAGAGAGGCGACGACTGGTTACTCTACTTTTATAGGAGGCAATCTAGTCACTTGGAAAAGTCAGAAGCAGTGCAATGACTCATACTTCGAGTGAGCTAACTTGGTTGAGAACTTTGCTATAAGAGTTCGGGTTTTTTGTTCAAGATTCATCTCTTCTCTATTACGATAACCAGACAGCTATTCACATTGCCAATAACCCGATTTTCCATGAGTGAACCAAATAAATTGATTGCTATTTCATTCGTTCTAAGGTGACTTTCAAAGAAATTGTGACTTCATTGGTATCATCTGGTAATCAGTTCGCAGATATCTTTACTAAAACTCTTCCAAAGCATGCTATCAATTCAACCTGCAGCAAAGTGGGAGTCATTGACATCTACTCTCCAGCTTGAGTGGAGTGTCGTGCATACAACTCAGAGTCAACTTTCCTTAATTAGGGGCATGATTACTGCTTTCATATTTTACACATGATGTATTTACCTAGACACACAATAGGTCCAGATTCATTTCTTGCATTGCACTCACCATTCACCTTATTTTATGTTCATCCTTTGGTATATGATATAATATACAGTCAATTCTTCTCCCTCTCTAAAATTTAGCCTTCAACTTTGAACAAGTTTCACAATGCAAGCAATGTGATGAATAATTTTGAGTGATACTTCATTCTCTAAGTGAAACCAGATCATTAACACTAGCTCTTTCTTTGGGGTCGGGGTATAGACAAGCAGGAATAAGGATGAAGATGGTGTTCAAGTAACTTAAGAGGCTCAAATGTAAGTGGGTGATATTACCACCAACATGCCTTAACAACTACTAGGTTTGCATCTTTTAATTTGTTCATTTATTTTTTTGAAGGTGAGACTAGATCATGGAATTGCTCCATTGTGACCTGGACATCACAGGGAAACAAAAAACAGCCTCTCCATATGAGGAGATAAAGGCTGCTTACATTTGACCCTCCTAGTCCTAGATCCCACAGCAGCGGGAGCCTCGTGCACTGGGCTAGCCTTTTACTAGATCATGGAAGTAAATAAAACTTCAACAACACAAAGCTAAAGTCCCAAAATTTTGAAGACCTCATTCAGATGAAGTTTCCATCAAGACAATGGCGGTGTTTTTCCTTTTCCTTTAATCCGGGGTGTGTGGGGTGGGGGTAGGAATGATGCAATAGAATATCATATTTTTTTAAAAAAATAATAATTAACCAGAAGTCTGGAAGCTGGAATTGGCTGAATTTTTTATTGCTTGGCTGTATTCCGTTTGATTGGCAGTTAACCTGGTCGAAGGAAGAAATAATAGAATCTTAATAGTTAAGTTACTAGTAAATCTCTCCCCTACTACAGCAGAGTTCACTGCTTCTACCTTTGACAGATTTGGGCTTTACGTAGCACATGTAAAAATCTAGGCATAAATTTTTCTTGGTTTAAGTATCTGTTTGTTCTCTTAATCGATACCAGGGCTTTAAGATTCTATAGCATCTCTCTGTCTTTGGGTGATACTAATTACCAAGGTACCAATATAGACCAAATCTATTGTCATGTTCCCCACTTCCACTTCTCTTTTCTGATCCAATACCCATCCTTCGCGCCCCACTTACTTCTCTCAGCCCAGTGCTGCCCTAAATTGTGTATGTAACAAGTTTGAAAGGGATATTCCTGCTCAGTTCAGGATAGAGGAAAACTAACTTGTTTTTTCCAATTCTAGCAATTTATATGCGAGTAATTTAAGAGTTGGCCTAAAGACTTCACTTGTTGCAAGCCCAAGAAAGGTTTCAAAGAGTAAGACAGTGGAGTCCCTAAAAGGGTGTGCTTTATGAAATGGTGTCCAGAAAGAGGTGGAGGGCACAATGGAGGTGGAAGATGCAACAAAAAGTTAGTTTGGGGTTAAACCCTGTTATTTAGGTGCATAGAGAACTTGGAGCTATATATACAGATTTAAATAATATACTATTGCTACATATTTAACCAACTGCCAAATTAACAAAGGCTGCAAAAGTACCAGCCACGAAGCTTCATTATGAAGAACTACTGGAATATCCAAATGCTCAGGCTTCAAAAAGTTTTGCAATAAGCGTATCTTCTCAGAAATTTCCAGGTCAATCTTGGCATCCTCTGGAAAAGAAGCAAACGTACGAGAGAACAACTTTGTCATGACATACTTCTCCAAACCCTGCAGTACATATAAGATGTGCTATCACAAATCTGCCACAATAAAAAAGTAAAGGAGTAAAGGACATGTAGCTATCACATTGTTACATGTCCTCCTTCCACGCGAGCGCAAAACATTTATTACTGCTATCAACTCAAAAGGAAATATCTGCAAATGTACAAAACATCACCTATCAGTGCCTAAACGAAATTTTAAAGGGACCCTTATCATACTAAATTTAGAAACTCAGGTTGACACAAGTAATTCCTATACACTAACTGCATCATATTTGTGATGTCAAAAATAGGCCACAACAAATTGCAGAGCACATATCGCTATATCTCCTTTCTTCCATAAAAGTGAAAAATATTTTATACTATTGTCAATTGCAAGGGAGATCTCCACTAGGTGTTTGAAACATCATCTGTCAGACTCATCATCACCATCCTTGCCTTCATCCAATATGAACGCTATAGACCATTTCATGATGCTCTTAGTGACCCAGGGTTACATGAACAATATCCACACGTTAACCTGAGAAAGCATCCCGTGTCAATGGCAGTCTAGTTGCCTCTTGTCTGGGGAAGGAGAAGCATGCAATGACTCATGCAAGCCAAGGCCAAAATGAATTCAGGAATTTTTTGCCGTTCTTGGTTTAAGACAAGCAGCCTAAGATGAAATTGGTTTCAGTCTAGGTTTCATGGACATGCGTATATATATATTTACATGCAAACACAAAAACACACATATAGATGCAAGTCATGTCCATGTTATATCTTTACTAATCATGGGTAATTTTTAATTATGTATTACAGCCGTAGAATGTTTATTTCTATATAGAGTATAATTTTATATTAAAATATATATTATATTATATGTCCGTCCCCTACTTATTCAAGATTTGTCATGTCAACATGCTCATGCTGTTTCATGTATGTGTCTTGTGTCCATATTCATGCTTCTTACCAAGAGTTCAAATCGTTGAAGCTTTTAAAAACTATTGAGGTAGTGGTGTTGGAATACTGCACGATGCAGACAACACAACAAGAAATTGTATGATATCAGAAGAGGAAGAAAATACCAGATTTGAAAGCTACTGTTTGTAGTTATTCGGAAAGATTTCCAGCACAAATCTACCCAAGTAGGGTTAGTTTTGATAGTGCTTTGGCATTTTCAGTTTGGGGAAAGTAAGGAATTTGATTGTGGGCTTTCTTTCTAAATTTGTCATGTTCAGGGAGTACACTTCTTTTTTAAAAAAAAAAAAACAGAGTGATACCCCGGATGCATCTTCTTTTAGGTATAAGCGCCTAGAAACCTAGGTTTGATTGGTTAGACTTTTCCTTTTATTCAACATAAGTTCTTAATTAATGATAATCCACGTCCTAATTATCATGTTTATTCTATTAACTCTCTGGCACCTTAGAAAGCTACTAGAACACTTTGGTAATGAACATAAAGTATCCTAAATAATAGCAGATTGAAGAGCATAAACTCTAAAAAGAAGGGGAAAAAATATTTAAATAAAGGATGAAGAAGGAAAAGCTGTAAATTAGATTTTAAAAGTATTCAGAGGATTGGCAAAATGGAATATTAAAATTCTGACACATGAATAAATGCTCATTTATAATCAACAAGTTCAACTATTCTCATGCACGGGCTCAAGTTAAGCAGGTTCAGGACGGGGAACCCCTTTCCCAAACCCGTCCCACCAATGAAAATATTTTCCCAAACCCCATTCGGGATGCCCCGCATTGGAACCGGGGCGGGTTCGGGCTGCCCCGATTAAAAAATTTTAAACAATTTTTTTTTTGATAGATAAGAAAGATTTCATAAAAACGCTCAAAAGGGGAGCGCTCCCAAATAAGACAACCACATCCCGCCCATTCACCCAAAAGAATAAAGAAGAAAGTATACTATACTTCAAAGCCAAAATATGAGACTACTCTCCCTCAAAGTATCTCCTATTTCTTTCACGCCACAAACCCCACCATATACACAGTGGGTAGCTCTCCAAGCATCTCTGACTTGGCTCTCCACCAAAAAAAAAAAATTAAATTAAATAAATTGAAACTTAAATAAATGTAAGGTAAATTTTGCAAATTTTTTGTAGTATAACAATCATAATAACAAAAATGTTGATAAAATTTAAAATTATCCTAATAAATAAAATATATATATATATATGGTTCATAAAAAAATACTTATTTATATTTTAATTATTAATCGGGACGGGTTCGGGACTTTGCGGGTTTTAAGGTGTCTTCTCAAACCCGCCCCTAACCAGATTAGGAAGATCCCAAACCCGTCCCTCTAGGGGTGGGAAGGGACGGGGCGGGTTAAATAGACATCCTTAAGCAGGACTACAAGATTAAATGTGCAAAGGGCCACTTGAGATATAATCAAGCTCAAGCTCAATGATTTGTCACAAACATGAATTTGACAGGTTTTTACTTTTTATAATGATAAATGCATCTGAATAGATTCATTTCTATAACTTAATACGATTCCATATCTCTCATATTAATTTTTGATAGGTGAAAAAGGATCTGTAGAAGTATAATTAGCACCAAAGCTAGTGCACTCATGTACAAAGCTATGCTCACTGTCACCAAAAAAAACTCTACAAAAGAATCCCCAACAAAAAGGAGCTCCTAGTGATCCGGAAAAAGAGATAAAACCACCAGTAATTAGTTCAAGTACTAGAAAATTATATCAATTTAAACTAAAGCAACGATTAAGAAAAAAATTCTCTAACTTAAAGCTTCAAATTGCAGTAGAATTTGAGCTCAGATATTATCACTTGAGTTGATCTACGCCCATAAAAAATCTGATTAGCACACCAACTCAGTGAAAAACTTGAAACTTACTGGGAGATGAAAAGAGGGAAGATGTATACTGAGTAAATACCTCAATAGCACAGTCAATTTCTTCCTCTGTTGCCCCATCCCACAATGGATGGTCCCTAATAGCAACTTCCATTGTCAAGAGGAAATCTTGCAACCTTTTGCCATCATTCTCGGGATTTGCCATGTGAAATGAAAAAGATACTATGAAGCTGCAGAAGAATAAATTTCTCTATTCAGAATTATTGTATCTACTGCACAGAGAATTAGCAAGCTCAACAAAAACAAATAATTTTATTAAATAAATAAATATTTATTACTTATCAAAATAAATAAATAAATAAATATTTATGAGAAGATAAATTTCTCAATGCTCCTTCGTGTAGGAGAGAGAGAAAAATGGATGGAAGGAAAAGGAGGGACGATGAGGATCCCTAGGGAAGGAAGGATGCCCATCCCTCTTTTTTTGGGTTGGATGAAAGGGAAGGGAAGGGATGATATTATCATTTTCAGATTATACCCTTAAAAAATAAATTAATACATTAAAATGAGGTTAATAACATCTTATAACTAGAACCCAAGCCTAGTTGGCTAGCGGGCCCGATTAGTCTTGGAGAGCCTTGTAGATGCTCCTGCATCGATGTCGTATTCAAGGGAATAACATGTCTTGTGCAATTGATCCACATATGAGGGATTGGAGACTGTTCCCAGAGAGTCACATTCAAGCAAGAAGGGGGAAAATTAACTTTTAAGGAGATATCACATGATTGGTTGAAGGTGACACGTAGATTGTCATCTCACAATATGTGGAATGCAGGGGCAGAGCCAGGATTTTAATTTTGGGGGGGGGGGGGGGGGGGGGGGGGGGGGTGGGAACAATATGCTAAATCAATGAGAAAAATAAATACTTGACCAATATAAGAACTAAAATACTGTTTAGTAATATTTTCATTGAATGTAGTTGTAGATCTTTGTATTTTGAAAATGATGCATGAAAATTACACCCATTGACTTCATAAAGAAAAAAATTACATACCACATGCATCCTACAGAAGTGCAAAAGGAATAATTTTAAGTAGTAGGAAAGAAAATGAGAAATTTGAAAGGAAAAAAATTAGAGTTTGACTGAAGAAGGGAAATATAACCTTTGTTTAAGGAAATCAAAGGAATTTGAAGAGTAAAAGAAAAAGGAAAGAAAAAAAATATAAGAGATAACTTTAGAAATTAAAAATTTTAGAGGGGGAGGGGGAGGAATTTCATAAAAGGTTAATTAACTATATATTGTAGTTGGAGGGGTGGTGGATTGGTGACATCACACACTCACAATCTTAAATATCAGCTATGCTTACATTTCAATTTTTTTTTTTTTTTCTTTTTTTTTTTTATCAATAAAATTTCTTTAAAGGCGCTCAAGAGGGGAGCACTCCCAAAGAACAAAAGGCGCCCACGACAACACTATAATTTTAAGCTATCTACAAAATCCAAAAGAATATCCATAGATATACAATTTCACCCATTAACCCAAAAAAAAAAAAAAAAAAAAAAAAAAAAAAAAAAAAAACAAACCAAATAGGGGACTCCTTGCCTTCAAAGGATCTCCTATTCCTCTCGCGCCACAAACCCCATCATAAACAAAGGGCCAAGCATCTTTGACTCGGCTCTCCACTGTACACCATTTCCGAGCCTCTACCATATCCACCATGGACCCCAAAACAACCCAATCCACACCAAAAACAACCAAGAACATAGACCAAACATCCCTTGCCACAAGGCAATGCAGCAAAAGATGGTTCACAGATTCTCCCAACTTCTTACACATGCAACACCAATTCACTAGTCAAATAAGCACAATAGAATTTATGCATGTGATTCTTGTGTTCAAAAGCAATTTCATTCCGATATCGCATAATGCAGTTTGGTTGGTGGGCAGTTCCACAATTTTTTATTTTTTATTTTTTTGATCAGGTAAGTACTCACACATACTTTTGCACATGCTCGGGCTCAAATCCTTCCCCTCCCCTTTGAGGATAGGGAGGTTATACTATCGGGCTAGAGGCCCTTTGGTGGCAGTTCCACATATATATATATATCTATAGCAGTCATCCTTAACAATTTTGTTAACTAAGACATGTCATGCATAAGTAACCTTCAAGCACTTCCAAACCTCAACAAGAATACCATTTTGGTCTTATAACCTTTCTTATTTTCATCTTCATAATTTAAATTTTCACCTCATATACCACAATTCAAGGAAAAACTTGTCCACCCTAATGTTATCATATGAACTGAACCAAAACACCTGGTACAAGTTTATAAAACAACTCACAAGTAACTTCTCCATTTCTATTTGATGTTCTCATCTTTCACCAATACAATACACTATTTGGTTTAACAAAATCAAAACATAAGCTTCCATCTCTTACCTTAGCAACTTCTGCATATAAATTATATTCTTCTCCCTGCTATTAATACCTAAATATAGATATTGTCTAATGCATTAAAATTTACCATGTTTCACCACTTATTTGACTTCTTTCTTTTTTTGGAAAGTTCAAGCAAATACACACGCCCACTGTATAAATTATGCCTCCACCAAGGCTCGAACACTCAACCTCCCCATTTGGGGAGCTTAAACCATCTGGGCCAGTGCCCATTGGTCTTATTTAACTTCACTCTTTGTACATTTATAAAACTTTTGTCACTTCCAATTTCTTGCCAAACTTTATAGACCTTTTCTGTTTATGGTATAAATTGTCTTCCTCATTATTTACCGCATTACATTCCACTTAACATGCCAATCATACCCTTTTCCCCACTAAGAAGCTAAGCCCTATAACTAAAGTTAACCAGTAATTCTTTAATAGAGCATTTTCTTATGGTGATAAAAACAAGAAGAAACCCTAAATTCTAAAGCATGAACTCAAAATCGCCAACACAATAGGCAACGCTTTGCTTAATCGCAAATAAAAGAGAATTAAACAAAATTTAATTATTGGGGTTTAATTTTCAGTTCTTACAAAGAAAAAATACAAGCCAAACATTTGTATCCGAGTAAGTTAACCCTAACGAATGAAATTTTAAGATCAAAAGTGGTAACAGCATTTCTTTTTCCTAAAATTCCTCAATACAAAAGGGAGACAATTACTGTATGTATGCATTTTCTCGATAAAATTGTTGGTTGTAGGTTTCTGCTAGAGCATAAAGATCAACGTAAAACATTCATATAAATAATATATATATATATATATATATATATAAGAGAATCATGAAGTACCTTTTGATTGATCGAACGAGATCAAGAGAAGTAGGGTTTCGCATTCTGTCAAGAAAATCGTAGAATGTAAGCGACTGAGTCGAACTCGTTTCCATTGCTCCACCACTGCCTTTACAATTGTTTGTTTTGCCCTATTTCTCGCTCTATATAATGTACACACACAATTACACAAGATATACCACCAAGCGGCACCACCCTCTCTCTCTCTAAAACTGTGGTTTCTCTCTCGAAGATTGAAAAATTAAAATTGGGGGCCATAGGTAAGATAAGAAGAGGTCTGTCTAAGACCAGTGGGAGAGAGGAAGGAAGAATGTTAGGTACAGTACTTATGGGCACGTGATTGTGTTGACTGTAGTAGTAACCAAAGTTTAGTGGGTACAAATGGGTCGGGCTCATCCACTTTCGGCATATGAATAACTGGCCCAAACCTCAATGACCCCAAAATACGGCATCTTTACTTGATCGGTTGATCCACACAGAAGTTCAATAGCCTCAATATCTGAGTAATACTTTTCTTCAAATTCTTTTTTTTCATTCACAAAAAATACTCACTCGCATATATTTTTTGCCCACCGCTCAAACCCCTCCTCTCTTTAGTGGGTTTGTTTAAGAAAATTTTTATTAATAGAAAAAAAATTGTACAAAAGAAAGTGACGAAGAGTGATGGGGCGATAGAGAGAGAAGAATTGATTTTACTAGACATAAATCATCGATCTAGTTGTCCAGAGATAGACGACTGTGGCGGACATGCGGTGAGTGGTGACTGCACTGCCTGAAAGATGATTGTGCGAGGGTTTGGTCTTTGGTGAGGGTTTCTGAGACTGAGATTAGGACTGCAAATTAACTGAGCTGTTCATGAACAGTTCGAGCTCAGTTCGTTAAAAGTTTGTCTCGGACTCGATTTATTAGTAAACGAGGTGAGCCCGAGCTTAGATTTCAAGCTCGTTTAGTAAATGAGCCGACTTGAGCAACACTCAGCTCGGTTCGCTAGGCTCGTGAACAAGCTCGTTAAGATATAGGCCCATTTGTAATGTCATTTTACATTTAAAAGGCTTAGCCCACATTACTACATGAGTACAAGCTTAGCCCAATTTAAATCATTTTATTAGCAAGGCCCAAAAGCCTATCATCCAAATAAGTTCTCATCTCAGCCATTAATTTTTGACACATCTTAACCGTTGGTTTGTTGCTAAGTTAAAAGGATAATGTAAATCCTAAAACTAAAAAGTCTTCCGCGAGTGTCCTCTACAGCTCCACTGGATGATCTCGCCAGTAGCCCCTTCTCGACACGGCTCTCTCTCACACTCTCTTTTTCCCTCATGTATCTTAAGGACAAGCAGTGCAACATATATGTATAGGGATGGCAAAAATCCCCAATCCGGTGGGGAACTGCCCCGCCCCCGCCCGTTTACAACGATTTGGAGAACCGCTTAGTTAAATGGGGTGGGGATGGGGGTTTAAAAAAAAAAAAAAAAACCGGTCGGTTTTGGGGCTAGGACGGGGGAGTCCAAACCCAACCCCAAACCCGCCCCAATCAGTATATAAAATTATTAATTTACACCTACTATATTATTATATTTACCAAATTAACCTGCACTATATATACACATGTTGTAAACCCTAAACTCAATTCACTTCCCATATTCCTCCTAATGACAGGAGTCGGCACTAATAGATCTGACGAAATAAAAAATAAATAAATAAATAGCAAGGAGGACAAAACAACTAGCAGGTACTCAAAACTCCGACCATCCTACACTCCCTCCTGCCTCCTTCACCATCTTCATCCACCGCTTCGGCCGACACACCTGTTTTCATAGATATTTTTCTTTTCTTGTTGGATGATATGTTGTGCACTCAATCCTGGATACCTGGAATACCATTGATTTGTTCAAACAATAAGATTCACCAATTGTTTTGCTGGTTCTGATTTGAAGTTATTAGAGGTGAGATTACAATTTTGTTAATATTTGATTAAAGAATCAGAGGAGTCTGCACATCTCAACGAATTGCTTTGAGTTATATATATATATATATATAGATATGATTGATGAATGATGATGCTAATTGATGATGTTATTTTGTGTTTGTTTGGTTGATGTTTGCTTGAAAGTTTAGATTTATGTGATTTTGTCTTATAAAAAAAAAAAAAGTTCAGATTTAAAAAAAAATTAGAATTTTCAGATTTAATCGGTTATGAGGCGGTGGCGGGGCGGGGGCGATTATGGGGGTTGGAGGTAAAAAAATAATCAGTTTTGGGGCGATTTTGGGGGTTTCAAATTTAAACGGGGATCGGGATGGGGATTGAGAAACCCGCCCCAAATCGCCCCATTGTCATCCCTATATATGTATATCAAGTAGAAAATCTTTATAAAGTTTGAATCGTTTGATTTCTATTTTTAAATTTTCTTATATATTGTGTCAAAAAAACGTTGTAAGATTTGATCTCATCTTTAAATTTTTTGTATTGAGTCAATAAAATCTTAGAAGGTTTGATTTCATCTTGAAATTGTTTTCTATAATTGATTTCATTTTGAATTTTGGTTCTGTATTGAGTCAATAAAACCTTGAAATGTTGGATTTCGTCTTGAAATTGCGTTCTGTATTTATTCTCTTCTCTGTTGTCAAAGACTGGAGACCAGATTTCATGAAAGAGATACTGCGTTTTGGTCATGGTTGGGTATGTAACCAATCCCGAGCCGAGCCCGAGCTTACCGAAATTTACCAAGCCCGAGCTCGAGCTTGGCTAGGCCAAGCTCGGCCGAACCCGAGCAGAGCCCGAGCAGCTTACTGTAGATAACGAGCCGAGCCCGAACAACCCAAAGCTCGTCACGGCTCATTTGCAGCCCTAACTGAGATACGTCGGCCTGTGTGGTTATGGTTGTGTTATAAACTTGTGGTGAGGCACTGAGGGACTTAGGTTAGGGTACTTCACTTTTTTTAGTTATAAGTTATATAACACACACATATATATAATATTTAAATAAATAAATAAAAAGTATACAGAGAGGGACGGGGTGGATTTTTATAAAAGACCCCATGCCCCAAAGTATATATAAATATTTCCCATACCCATGCTATTAGGGGCGGGACAGGAAGGGACAAATTGTCATCCCTACTACGTGCTCCTTAAATTGTCTTACACTAGTAAGTGATAATAACATTTGGAGCATGTACCATGACTTAAACAACCAAACATAAGTTTTTGTACTCTCATTAAATAACAAACCACACATAAACAATAATAACTGCCCATGATGATTTGTTTCAACAAAAGGAGTAAATGGCATATCATATTTATATGTGGGATATGTTGTGTCAAATTTAACATTCTTAAATGACTCATTTGTTGCCCTTAACCTTGAATCAATCTAAAGTATATTTTTTATACAATTTTCTTTATCAAATTGTTTTTTTTTTTTCCTTGCAATATAATTTATTCAATCTCTTTCACCAAAACATGGGTTCTCTTAAGGCTTCTTTTTATATGATAATTCAATTCCGTATTATATATCAAGAAATGTGCTTTTGTTATATTGAGTGTGTGATTGTATTTAAATTTGAGACAACCTATAATATATTAATCATCACCAAGAATAGATTTAGGGGTAGGCTCTACCCACCCAAAAAAAAAAAAAAAAAAAAAATTAAGGCAAATTTAGCCCAGCCCAAAAACAAAAGAAAAGTATTACTAGTATTAATCCACCCAAAGAAATATTAGCCCTCTCCATTAATAATTTCTGGATCCACCCTTGGTCATCACTTATAACAACCTAATTGATTTTACCTTTGCAATTAGTTTTAATTTGCATAGTTAGTTTTGTAGGATTAATTGAAGTGGACTTCATCATACAAGATTTAGCACAAGAAAAAGAAACATACTTCAGTCACTTATTTTTATCAAATTTTTTACTTTTTCTTATAACACCAAGACCTTCGTACTTATCATATTTCTTATAATAAATAAAAGCTGCACTATGAGAATTGAAAATTATCCTAATCTTTATCATCATTTGATATTTTCTCAAAACCTTGCTCATTATCTTCCTTACCATTATAATTTTCTTTATCGCACTTCATCCATATGTCATTTCTTTTCTTCCATATTCATATTATTTATCATTTCCTATCATATAATCAAAATATATAAGATTTTAAGTCATTATTTAGTGATACAAATATCTTTTTATTATAGCATTAACTTAGAAATTTATCAAATAGTTAAATCTTATATTATGAAAGCAACACATCCAAAACCCAAATGGGAAAAATAATAAATAAAACAAAAATAGGATAAAGATTAAATGACTAAAAAATATAACAATATGAACGAGTGCATGCACATTATTATTATTATTATTATTATTATTATTATTATTATATTATGGTTCATTAAAATAAGGGATTAATTTGTGATAAACATAATTTTACGTTGGCAAATTTCGTGTCAAAAACTTGAATCAATAGAGTTGTAATTTTTGCTTTAATTTGTGTCTCGATTGTGAGAGCTGAACAAAAAGCGCTTGGATACCTTAATTCGATGAAACATTACTTAGAACATCTATATGAAGTGACGACACCTTGCACATCAAGTTTTGTTTTTCAATTAAAAATTTAAAGTTCCTACATAGTCCCACTGGCCAGTTGGATTTTTGTTGACTGGTTTAACCACTCTCAATAAAAACTAATGGAATAATAAATTTTATAAAGTATGACTTCTAGCTAAAGGATTTCCTTAACAACTAGACAGATTTTTTCCTGAAATATTCAACCATGTGGCTAAACCTGCAACTATATGTTTAGTTCTCACATTAGCACTCAATCATCAACGGGAGATTAAATAACTTGATATTGAGTGTGCCTTCTTACATGGTGATTTAATTGAAGAGGTTGCATGGCTTAACCAAGAGGTTATGAAGATCCGCTCTTCATTAATCATGTGTTTCGCATGTACAAGTCCATTTATGAGTTGAAACAAACCCCTTATGCTTGGTTTAACAAGTTTCAAAGTCTTGAACTTAGTTTTTCTAATTCTCGTGATGATAATGTTGGCATTATGTGCCCTAATAGTCAATTATTTATTTTTAGTATTTGACATTTTGTTAATAAATGTGATTTCTTTTAAATATAATATTCATGCATTGGGCTTTACATATATTTACATGAGATGCATTATAGTCCTCAAGTTGCATTATAGGTGACTTAAGTGTGTAAATGATGTTTACACGCAGGAGATTTGATCTCATCGGTTTCTTGCACCTTGGCATTATTAGCAGTCAGAGATAAAAGCTTGGCACTTT